CTGGGAAAAGTTTACGAGCGACTCATATTGGAATTGCCTACGAAAATACGTCTTCGCAAGTAAGCTGCTTCCCGATTAGCAGTTCAGCTTCAAACCGGACGGCGGACCTTGTTCAAACGGCGGTTAGAAAACTTATCAATGTCATGTTGTGACCACAACAACACAACATTATTGATCTTAGCGCAGCGTTGCTTTCGCAACGTTGCCCTAAAATAAATAATCAACACCACTTTATAGCTTGCAGGCTTTTAGGCCGCAAGTCCTAAGTCCGATGAAGCTGTAAGAACCAAAAGGCTAAGGCCGAATGCCTCGCTGACAGTTTAGAGAGCCAGTGTACTCCCTCTAGCGAACCCACAGATCCCGGTCACCGTGCAGAGGTCGAAGCGGAGTCGAGCGTAAGTCTGCACTACCAGCTGCTGGCGATCCCCTAGGACCTGTGACTGTCGACGAAGTCACAGAAGTTATTAAAAGCCTTAAAAAGAAATCAGCACCCGGCCCCGATGACATTAGCTATAGGGTACTGAAATTCCTCTATGTATGCCTCTTAGTAGGCATATTCAACGCTCTTCTTTCCAACTGCTCCTTCCCAGATGCATGGAAAGAGGCGATTACTAAAGGAGGAGATTACTATTACTTATCACCACTTACCATTAGGTGGGATCGTAGATAAGCGCTGGCTTAGTAGAATATAAAAAAAAACGCACAACTTAGCCTCTAGTTACAGACCAAACAGTCTCCTCAGTACACTGGGGAAATTTTACGAGCAACTCATATTGAATCGCCTTTGTAAACACGTCTTCACCAATAAACTTCTTCCAGACGAGCAGTTCGGTTTCAGACCCGAACACTCGTGCACGGACCAGGTGCATCGCCTCACAGAATACATTCTGAAAGGTTCGACCTCTCACGAAGAAGCCACGGAACTACCATAACCGGTGCCCTCTTCCTCGATGTCGCAAAAGCGTTTGACAAAGTCTGGCACGACGGCTTGTTTTACAAGCTGTATAAACTCAACGTGCCTGAAAGGCTCATTCACACCATCAGAACCTTTCTTGTCAATCGCCATTTTTGCTAACGATTAGAGGGTAATCGCTCTACAAAGCGTCCCCTTAAGGCTGGAGTCCCGCAAGGCTCCGTCCTCTCCCCAACTACTCTTCACACTCTTCACGAGTGACATCTCGAAGGACCCAGTAGTGAATACTACTCTTTTCGCAGATGACACGGCTCTTATCGTCGCCCATCCCAATAAAAGATACCTCACCAAGATGCTCCAAATAGCCGTCAACCATCTAGGCGATTGGTTTCGCTTATGGAGAATTGAAGTGAATCCTGAGAAAAGTGTAGCAATACGCTTTCAAAGGATCTCCACTTTCAATCGTCAATTCAGAAACTCCAAAAAAGTGTTAAGACACAAGCTCCACCTTTATAAAGCATGCAGCAGACCTATCATGCCTTACGCAAGCGTAGTTTTCGCGCACGCGGCCCATAGACCTCCAAGTCGTCCAAAATAGATTCATTCGCATAGCCACCGGAGCTCGGTGGTACCAGCGAAACTCCGACTTACACAGAGCGTCCACTTCCGACGATGTCTGAATACTTCAAGGAGATGTCTCGGCGTTACTTCGAGAGAGCCGAGACACATCCCAACCCGTTAATGGTATACTCAGCCACATACACTCCGACTCCGAACGTTACGGAAAGCCTCCGGAGCCCCGTAACGTTTATATAGAACTGCCCGTCCCGCTAGATGCCGAAGACCGAAATGTCGCCGGCCATTCACACATAAACGCTACTCACTCACCTAGTGCCACAAACACTGTTAGGACTACAACGGATGGGACACAGCAGGTTCACAGACGGGCGCGCCGCACACCCCTCAACACCGCGTACACACCGTACACCCGCGTCCCTGGGCGGTTCTCACTGCCCATAATATCGAATGATACGCGAGTTACCCGTTAGAGCCGGGACCCGCCACCCCCTGTACGCACGGCCGTTAGATAACTCATTTACGTGCACTTTAATCTGTTCTAGGAGTCGTCGTCACGCAAGTAACGACGCAGAATAGTAAAATATTCACCCCTTTTTTGGCTGTAAGACCGTGTAGGCTAACAGCACAAACATCATCAGAAACCTGACCACTCGGAGCGTTGACCGCTCCCCGGTCCGATCTCCTTACCCGGCGGGAGATCTTCCCTTTTCCTTTCATGGTCAAAGATGCGACAGAGGGAAATGAAATGGAGAATGGACAGCAGCATCTTCGTGATAACAATGAGTCGCCATTTCTTATCAGGAAGATGGCGGCCTCGTACTGATAAACGAAATTTAGGGTATTCCCCCACTAGATGGAGTGACGACTTGGTAAGACACGCAGGAAGTAGATGGATGCAGGTGGCTCAGGACCGTGCTTTGTGGCATTCCATGAGGGAGACCTATGTTCAGCAGTGGTTTTATGAAGAGCTGTATTAATGACGATAAGGAAGATGCTTTGAATTAATAAAACACTGCCATTGCGAATTCGCGTGCCAATCGTGGCGACTATGAGAAATATCTCCCTTATGACGTGATCTACAGTAGGAGCCTATGTTCGCCAGTGGATTTTTAATGGGCTTTAATTAATGAAATCAGTGCTAGCATAAGATAAAGTATCCGTAGCAATCATAATTTTGATTTATTTAGATGTCCACGAGCTACAGAGGCCACTGCAGCAATCTTTTTTCAACCTTTAGTTGACGATTAGATTCTGATATATACACAAGTGGTACGCGAAAAATTAAAATTTTTGTACAACCGACTTAAATATAAATAAAATGAGAATATCATCAAAGTAGTCGAAGTCAATTAAATACGCATTATTAAGGATAGCGCCAAAACTACAAGTCAGATTTTGAGACTCTCATTATAAGACCACATGAGAAGCACCAGCTTTCAAATAAAAAAAGAATCATCAAAATCGGTTCACCTAGAAAAAAGGTTCTAAGGTAACACACATAAAAATACAGTCGAAAAGAGAACCTCCTTCTATTTTGAAGTCGGTTGAAAAATAGATTTTCTAATTTATTTAAAACTTCTATCGGTCTTTCCTTGCTTATATTGCTACCGAATAGATATTACATCACCTCATGTCATCCCATAGGTGTTCTGAATTGCCAAAAATATCTCATGGTTTCCGATCGAAGTTAATTTTTATTTAATATGCTAAATGTTAAAGAGCAGGACCGTACAGCAGCGTCAAAGGCGCAGAACATCCTATATTGCAATTCAGATTGTCCATAGTAGTGAATGTTTCTTTAATTATTTATGTGTTAATTTAAGTATTTATAAGTAACAGACATTGTTATTAAGGAGTGTGAAACGATAAACTGTTGCGTTGCCGGCAAACTGGCTTACAATTTGGCAAAATTTAAAATGTAAATAATGTAATAATCTTTCTAAGAACAAATAAAAAAAAGATTATAGTAAGTCTTTCTAATATAGAAACGCGCCTCATCGGTTATAGATTAAAGTGTAATATTTTGAGAGGTCTATACTTAATGATAATGGATAAATAAATCCTTAAAAAATAATGGGTTCAAAAAAATGAAACTCAATTCGACTGTATGTTGTTTTATGTGTTTTATTTCGATATTTTTTATTTGAAAGCTGGTGTTTCTTATGTAAATAAAAATATATAAATTTGATCAAGGTCTGACCAGGTTTTTAAGTTATTCTTAATAATTTATATTGAAGTCGGTTGTACAAAATTTTTAATTTTACTACTTATTGTACATCTAATATCCCGATTTTAAGATAAGCCCATTACTTTTTTTCCAAAAAAATATTTAGGAACCTCTTGTGAATTCTGAAGGAGTTTTATATTATATATTAAGTTGCACATGGATACATGGACAAACACGCAGACCCGAAACAATTATTTATACACAATACCAATAGAGCTTGTAACGTGCGGATATCTAATCCACGGCCGTTAGTGGCGTACCCACCGCGCTGCCAAGGCGTCAGTGTTATTTTGTGGATTTTCTCAAGTTTATGATTATGGTAATAATTTTGTCTTCTTCCGGTTCTTGATCAAAAGCCTAGGTTTTTGACCAAAAACCAGGTTTTATCATAAACCTGCTACATACCTGCATTAATAGTTTACTGGAGATAGAGACGAGTACTTACTCAAGTAATGTAACTGTAGTGTATCGTGCGAAGTTCCTAATTGTATTGCATCATTAGAAACAATTTTTTCATTTAATTATTTCGTTTTACAATAGTACGATTGAAGCGTGGAATTGGAAGTTCACTGCTGAACACATAGAAGAAGTACATGGCTCGGTGTTCAGACCATTTTCCCTCACCTTGATAATAATGTAATTAAAAAAGCAGAGAATAAATAATTTTAATTGCTGCCGTTATGATTGACAATAATTGACATTATAAACAAATAACTTGTAATTATCTAAAGTGTTTTTGATTCAAAAGCAGATTAAACACAATCTACACGATTGTGTTAAATTTATAAAATACTTTTTACTCTAATTTTTAGTGTGCCTTATTAATAAAAAGTATTGTTGATGTTTTTAATAGCGAGTTAATTATCACGGCTATTAATTTTTTTAGTTCAATGGTATCAAACAAATTTTTAACATTTGCTACACGCGATGTAGTCAGAATTACAAATTGTTTCAAATATTGCTACTGAAATAGTTCAAAAACGCGACGTTTCCTCATATGCCACTGAGTAATGTATCGCTTATCTTATATGATTTCATTTTACTACCGATTCACTTCAGCTACGGTGTAAATAATATTCGACGTCGACTAAAAATAAACACATAACATACTAACACCATAAGCATCGGGGTAAGTTTCAGTTTCATATTGGCGCGGATGACCGTTTTAACTGGAAGAAATCTCGTCGTAACTAGAATTAATAATTGGTGTAATTAAAAATTATTGCTTGTGTTTCTGTAAGGGCGAGTGCAGTTTATAAGTCGCTACAGCGGAGGCTTCAAGGCTTTTAGCCGCTGACTCCTTCGCGGTTCGCACGCGTCCGCGTTTTTCATGTCGCGAATTGCGAGAGTTACAATCCTACAAACGTTTAATTCAAATTAAATTAGCTTAAAATACATAAACCGTTTTGATAATTTTGTTCGACTTTGCAACTCGGGTGTTTGTTTAATTCCGCTACAGTAGTGTTTCCGAGTATTTGTTAAGAAGTGATAAAGTTTTTTATCTTGTGCGTCCGTGATGTGATATTTTAGTAATAAAATAATTTCAGGTAGGTAATACATATAATTTTTATTTGTTTTAGCTTATATACGTAACAAGTTAAATATTTAGTGAAAAATAAAATTTAAGCATAAAAAAATATAATTAAAAAATAATATATCACCTTCAAAAAACGATATCTTATTAATTAACTGACTTTTCCCCGCGATTTCGGAAGTTTGGAAAAGGACAGCCAATGTTTTATTCCAATGCCTAAGAGAGCATAAAGAGTAATTATAAAATTACTCTCCAGATCTAGGAACACAGTGAATTTTTCTAGGATAAAAAGTAGCTTAAGTTACTTTCAGGGCCATAAACTATCTTTATGCAAAAAGAAGGACAAACCAACAAACACACTTTCGCAATTATAATATTAATAGGGAATCTAAGTAAATAAAGATAAATTAATATTTCCTTATTTTTACTTTCTTCATCCCAATCGAAATAAATTGCTAAATTAATAGATCCCAGTGATCATAAACCTTTAGCTGACTCGAAGTGTTTCGTGTGAACCGTCCCTAGAAAATATTAAATAGTTTATAACAAATGATCGTGCTAACATTTATTAGTCCTGACACATGTATCCCAATTATACGTCAATCACCATCAAAGTCAACTACTGAATTTATATATTATATACAGGGTTATTTTTCAAAAACCAGCCAAATTTTAAACTTAAGTTCAAATATTTAAATAATGATATACCGTTATGGCAGTTTTTGAAAATACGCGTAAATAAGGTTTCTCCTTTTATTTCAAACTATCCCAAATTAAATGTGATTTATGGCCAACAACTTTTTGCCTACCGATCAACCTTTAAGAATGTGTGCGTGCGCAATAAATTGAGTTAAAATAATGCATTACTACGCATTTCGAATTGAAAAGATAAAAAGGATAGAATGTTTGAGTTTTTTTTTAAAAAAAGTACATTACTTATTCTGAACCTTCTCTGCAAATTTGGCCCGTTATTGCAAAATAACCCTGTATATATTTAGGCGAAAAAGGATCATCCCAGATGCTCTCATGATGGACGGCGCAAATATGCGTGCGTGACAACATAAAGTACAAGAAAATATAATAAACAAATTGTTAGCAATTCGTCGTAAATATATGGTACGCTTTCCCTATGATGTTAATTTTCAAAAGTCCTCTAAACAACTACTGTTGCCACGTTACCACAGATACGAGCTTCGCTAGAGTAAAACCTTTACTCTGGATCTGGCCCGTATTTTATAGACGTGCCTACATATTTATACATAGGAATGTTTGCCACAGTTGCCATGTGTGGTGGGTGTGAGAAGATGCTGCTATCCATACCCTGTTTAATTTCTCTCTTTCGCCTCTTCCGACACCCACGTATGATATAGGGTAGTAGAATTTTTACGCCGTTTTTCATCAGTTTTTCCCAATATATTAAACATTTAATGTATTAGTTTCACAACGAGACATGACATAGGAACAATACAATAAACACAATCGAAAAAATAACTTCCTTTCCTTGGGACTTACGTCTAATGATAGACTTTTTAATATGATGGTGATGATGATGATGATGGAAACTCATCTCGTAGAAAAAACGTTAGTAACGGACAGACAGACGGGTTGTTCAATTTTTTGAGAACGAACACTTAAATTGCTGATTTTTTAAAATGATGTCGCAAAAGCTAATTTGCATATTATTATTATTATACCTAGTCAGGTCATAAATTCTGTCACATGTATAATATAAAATAATTGAAACAAGTTTATTCATTATGTAACCATTTATATACCAAAATGAACTCAACAAAACATAGATTCTTATGACACTAAAGTTTATTCAAAATGACCTCCGTGATTTTGAATACAGGCCTTCAATCTGCGCGGCCAGTCGTCTATCGCAGCACGAACGAGGTCCATGTCAATATCGACGGCTGCCTTAATCAAGGATGTTTTGAGTGACTCCAAATTGGGATGAGGCTTTGAGCAAGCCTTTTCCTCCAAGTGTTGCTATATCTTGTAATCTAACGGATTCAAATCTGGACTGGAGGAGGGCCAGTCTTCGTGCCGGATGAAGTCGATTTCACGCGCTGCCAGCCAGTCTTGTGTGCTCTTCGCTCTATGAGCTGGCGCCGAATCTTGTTGGAATACCCAGTGCCTGTTATTGAACATGGTATGAGAAACGGGTTCCACAAGGTTCGTCGGACTGTATTTTGATACACAACTGCATTCGTTTTTACACCTTTCTCACAAAAATGTACCTCTGTTAAGCCCCAATAAGAAACTCCCAACCATACCATAAGCGAGGATGGAAAATGACCTCGTTGGACACGCGGAATACGGTTGCTCGCTTCTTCACTACTGTGTGCGTACACCTTATCATTTTGTTTGTTGTAGCTCTTTTCTACGGTAAAAATTTTTTCATCCGAAAAAAGAATTTCCCGATATTTTTTTCCCGCGTACCGCTTCAACAAAGCGCGGCATTTCTTCAGTCTCAGGTCCATTAGACGAGCATTCAAACGATGTCCTGTTTTTCTTCGATATGCCCGAAGCCCTAAGTCTTCATTTAACACTTAGGGCTTCGGGCATATCGAATTTGAATTGGCGCGTAACCGCAACGATGCAACGCAATAACTGCAACACGGTCTTCTTTAAGCGTCCACTCCATATTTAAAAATGAGTAAAATTCTAAAAAGTATACAGTTTTACTTTCATGAACAATTCGAAATTCGAATTCAATAAAGTTTTTTGTAGCCAGCATTCTAAAAGAAAAGTTTTTACTGTGTGACAATACTTATGACCTGATTAGGTATATTTATTTCACAAACTTCTCATCGGTTTGACAGAAACCCCGTCCTGATAGGATCTAACTCATATGCGCATTGATAGACATCTTTAGTATGTCGGTTAAGCGTTTTTACTATCTACTTATCTTATTATACTACTTTATTATCTACTATCTATCTTTGATGATAGTCTTACTTGCCGGCCAATGCAGTGGTAATAAAATCTCATATTATATAAGTTTATGCACGAAAAATTGTAGGTACATACAATGGTGGCATTGAGTCAATAAGTGCATTTTAATCTTATCTTAGATATCGTAATTATATGAAGTAAATAAAACAAGTAGTAAAATTTTAAAATGTTGTACAACCGTCTTCAATATATATAAAACTAGCTGTGCCCCGCGGTTTCACCCGCGTATATCACGCATCTGCGCCTTGCGACATGCGAACTTCGTGAGAGACATCACGACGGACGGTTGCTGAATTAACAAAGATTTAAAAAGTGAAATATGTTACTAAAATTACATAGTTAACGTAATTGGTGGTTGTGCATGATACAGGTACTGATAAGAATAATGTCTAGGCCACATTATTCGTATCAATACGTACTCGTATTAGTAGTATTTGTACCGGCGTTACTATTTCACATTTTAACATGAAAAAGTAGTTATTGTGACATAACTGTAATAGTTAAACATATGGTATCGCAGACTTTTTTGTAGAGATTAATATCCTCTATAAAAGTGAAGTACATTACTTTGCTCTATTATCAATAGTTTCCGAAGCGTACGCGATATAAGGATTATTTTTGGTATTTTTTTCACACCTTGGGTTACATTAACGAAGTTTTCATACAGATCCCTAACTTGTTTGAAAATATTACATAGCTTATATTCATTAGGGATAATGTAGGATTCTAATGGTGAAAGAATTTTTCAAATCGGTCCAGTAGTTTCGGAGCCTATTCAATTCAAACAAACAAACAAACAAATCTTTCCTCTTTATATTAGTAGTGTAGAAGTGTAGATGTAGATGTCGAAGTGTAGATGTAAATGTCGAAGTGTAGATGTAAATGTCGAAGTGTAGATGCATGGTACTCGTATTAGTAGTATTTGTACCGGCGTTACTATTTCACATTTTAACATGAAAAAGTAGTTATTGTGACATAACTATTTTCTATTAGTTAAACATATGGTGTCGCAGACTTTTTTGTAGAGATTAATATCCTCTATAAAAGTGAAGTACATTACTTTGCTCTATTATCAATAGTTTCCGAAGCGTACGCGATATAAGGATTCTTTTTGGTATTTTTTTCTCACCTTGGGTTACATTAACGAAGTTTTCATACGGATCCCTAACTTGTTTGAAAATATTACATAGCTTATGTTCATTAGGGATAATGTAGGATTCTAATGGTGAAAGAATTTTTCAAATCGGTCCTGTAGTTTCGGAGCCTATTCAATTCAAACAAACAAACAAACAAACAAACAAACAAATCTTTCCTCTTTATAATAGTAGTGTAGATAACATCATCAATGAGTTCCAAGTCAATTAAAATCGCATTATAAGGATAACTCAAAAACTACTCGTCAGATCTTGATCAAATTTATATGCAACCACATGAGAAGCACCAGCTTTTCAACAAAAAAAGAATAATCAAAATCGGTTCACCGGGAAAAGAAATCTGAGGTAACAAACATAAAAAATACAGTCGAATTGGAACCTCCTCCTTTTTTTGAAGTCTGTTGATAATTTTATACGAGAAACACAGTAAACAAAAAATAATATATTTTGTCACATACTATGCGGGCATTTATTTCCTGAGATATCACAGCACTCTTTCCGATATTAATCTATAAATCTAATTTAAAGATTATTTTATAGAAAGTTTCATTACAGCTTCCATTTCATTGCTGTCCATCTCTTGGTTAGAATTCCTTCTGTCGCCGCTTACGACCAACTTACGACATCCATTGGATGATACAGGACGATTCCGCTACAACACGGATAAATAATGTATCAATCGCGTCGAAATTTTATCTTTTATTGTTAAGAGCTGGTGATAATAGCGCCATCTCAGTTTAAATAAAAAATAATGTGATTTCTTACGTTTAAATTAAGAATAATCTATGTACATATTCTAAAGTTTAAAACGAATAAATTTCTAAAGAAGTCGCGGGCATAGCTAGTCGATACCTAATATGTTAATATCTGAATATTAATATGCATTTGCCATTGCAAT